CAACGCCACTTCCAGCTTTTTTCTTTTTGCTTATGTGGTGCTGAGGAATCAAACCCAGGGCCTCATGCATGCAAGGCAAGTGCTCAACCACTGAGCCACCTTCCCAGTCCATAACTGAACTTCTTGAGAATAGCAAAGACTTGCTTAGGGGTTACTATATTTGCCTGATTTAAGAAATAAGGTACTTGTAGCAGGACGCAGAAATTCCCATTTCTTGGTACCACTCCTTCCTTTGAGCCATTCCAAGTGTGTACCACAGGATGGGACATGAAAACACACCTGGCCATGATGGGTGGACCCAGTATAATTGAGCTACAGAAAACAAGCATCTCCAAACTTATGCAATTACATCTGCTTGTCTGTCTGCTGCAGAGCGGATGTCTTTGTGGTTATATCAAGAATCCACTAGGTTCTGTGAAAAATATCATTGGGGTCACAAAGCCTCCTTGGTGGGTTTCATATGATGTCTTGACTTTCCCACACATCCACCCATGGTCCTCTGTGCAAAAGAACTATCACCCCCCTGGCTGACACTTTGCTTAGCTGCTAGGTAGCTCACTTCCGGGAGACTGAAATGGAGCAATAATATTTTCAAGCAGTGCCCCCAAATCTAGTCACCGTCATATTCAGGGGCTTGATCCTAAAGATCCAGAGATCTGAAGATTTGGGTCTAGTCCTCTCCAGCCAGGCAAGGTACACCTTCATGTCTGTCTATCCCTCTTTATATTCTTTGGCCAGCAGGGTCATATGACACTCATCCAGCTGTGGGAGCAGTGACCAAGCCAGAAGGGACACTGCCATCTAAAGCAGAGCTAGCCATGTCGATGGCCTATCTGAACTTAGCTGCTGAACAGGGATTCCCCTAGCCACGTGGATAAAGGGAAGCAGTGTCTACACAGACAGAGATATAAACACGCATACATGTATATGCTAGCTTTTACAAACATTTTTCCTTCCCTACCTCCCTTGTCTTCCATTTGAAAAACATTACATATACTGGGGAAACTCCTCAATAACTTGTATCTACCACAGCCTTGCTACTATTGTAATAACATATAATGAGAAACTGCTTAAGTGTCCATTAAAGAGAGAACTAAGTTACAGAACATTCATTTAAAAGAATGGCCTAGATCTGCTTCTGTGAACATGAAAAGTTTTCCTTCTACTGCTAAAAAAGTTAAGTTGTAATATGTATGCATACACACACGCTGTAACCTTAATGTACAAACATCTGTTGGGCACAGATAATATCTAAGTGACATGTTCAATTATAACAGCCGTTTTCTCTCTGGAGAGTTGAGACAGGGGGCTTTCTCTAAATAATTTTTGTAGTGTCTGATATTTTTCAGGTATATATTACTCTTCCAATTTAAAATATGCTTTAAAAAGTATCTGTTGCCAGGCACTGGTGGCTCATGCCTGTAATCCTTGTTACTCAGCAGGCTGAGATCTGAGGATCACAGGTGGAAGCCAGACCAGGCAGGAAAGTCCATGAGACTCTAATCTCTAATTAACCATCAGAAAACCAGAAGTGGTGCTGTAGCTCAAAGTGGTAGAGCGCTAGCCTTGAACAATAAAGCTCTGGGATAGTTCCAAGGCCTTGAGTTCAAGACCCAAGACTGGCATACAAAATAAAATCTGTAAATATAAAACTTTCTATATTAGGAAAAATGTTTTGGGATGTTTTGAAAAAAGCAGGCATTAAAATCTAAGTTTGTTTTTTTTTTAAACACATCCAAGCCAGATATGGTTATATGTGTGTCTAATTCCAGCTAGCTACGGAGGAGGACCATAGTGGTAGGCCAGCTCAGACAAAAGCATGAGATCCTATCTGAAAAATGAACTAAAAATCAAAAGGACTGGGGATGTGGCTCAGTGGTAGATTGCTTGCTAAGCCAATAGAACTTAAGTTCAATCCCCAATTCCACTGGTGTGTGGAGGAAACCCATCCAACCCCGATTGTTTAAATTTAGACCCTACTGGTACAGTTCAGCAAACAAAATAGAGCTCATGTTGAGCTTTGACATGGGTGTAGAACAGAGACTGCCAGGTGGCTTGCCTTTTAGAGTAAAGCAGCAGCAGTATGATGTGTACCCACAGTGGCATTCTGAGTGGGAACTCTGAAGAAATGGAAGGGACGGCCGGGCGCTGGTGGCTCTCACCTATAATCCTAGCTACTCAGGAGGCTGAGATCTGAGGATCATGGTTCAAACCCAGCCTGGGCAGGAAAGTCCATGAGACTCTTATCTCCAATAAACCACTCAGAAAACTGGAAGTGGCACTGTGGCTCAAGTGGTAGAGTGCTTGCCTTGAGCTGAAGAGCTGAAGCCCTAAGTCTGACAAAAAAAAAAGAAAAAGAAATGGGAGGGAAGACAGTTCCACACTAAGGCTGAAAGGTTCAGAACGGCAATGGGCTGGAAGGGGGCACACAGGCCAGGGGCAGAAGAGGGTAGACTGCCTCCACCCAAGCATTTATCTAGGCCATAGATGCATCCTGTGAACATCCAGAGTAGAGCAGGGAGAGAAATGAGGTCCAAGTCAGACAGTCTGGGAGCTGGCCCCAGAGCTTATAGAGAATAACATGCCAGGTGGACAGCACCAAGGAGTAGAGTTGGGGAAACCAAGCTTCTAAGTCTGCAGCTGCAGGTGCTGTAGGGAAGACAGGAGCACAGGTCTGCGGGGAAGGCTCAGAGGAGCCAGCACCCTCCCAAGAGCTGGTGGATGAAGCCAAGAGGCTGAGTTCCAGGCAGCAATTTAGGTTATGGGGAAGCATATATGAGCTCCCCTTTATGAAAATGGCTGGAACATAGCTGATAGAGGGACTGGTATGGAGGCTGTTGCCATGGCACAGGAGCGGAAGGATGTGGTCAGTACAGGCAATGGTGCCTAACTCTCCACAGCTCTTGGCCCCTGAAAGTCCCCTCAGTGGAAGAGAAAATGTCTAGAATGCCCTGCCTCAGTTTCCATAGGAAAGCCCATTTTGAAGGCTGATTCGGCTTTCAATACCACTGCAGAGACAAAGACCCAGGGTGAAGACACACAACAGACATATTGAGTGAGGACAAAATAATGGACTCTCCCCTTCCTGTGAGGTCTGTCTGTCTGTCTCTGTCTCTGTCTCTCTGTCTCTCTCTGTCTCTCTCTCTCTCTGTCTCTGTCTCTCTCTGCTAGTACTTGCACTCAGGCTAGCATCCTACTACTTGGACCACAACTTCACTTTGGCTTTTTTTTGGTGATTAATGGGAGATAAGAATCTCAAAGACTTTCCTGCTCTGGCTGGCTTTGAAGCCAGATCCTCAGATCTCAGCATTACAGGCATTACAGGCATGAGCCACCAATGCTCAACTTCTTCCCTCGTTTTTTTTTTTTTTAGTGCCAGTCCTAGGGCTTGAACTCAGGACCTGGGTACTGTCCCAGAGCTGCTTTTGCTCAAAGCTAGCGCTCTATCACTGAAGCCATAGCTCCACTTCGAGATTTTTGGTAGTTTGTTGAAGGTAAGAGTCTCACCGGCTTTCCTGCCCAGACTAGCTTGGAACCGGCGCCCCACACTCCCGCATCTCTTGAAAGCTATCTGTCACTCTCACACAAGAGCCTTTCCAAAGGCCATTTTTCAGCGTCTTGTCTCAGCTGCTCTACCAGGCCCCATTCAAGTCTCCCAGGCCCCTCACTGGGCTGGACAGTGACAACCTCGAGAAAAGGAGGGTGACGATCCTGGGCGGGGGTGCAGGGGGAGCATGTGGTGACATCACATCCTTCAAATGCCTGCCGGAGCGCTCAGCCTCTCCCTCCCCACCCCCTCCACACCCCTCAGGACCCAGGATGCCTCTCCTCATCCCCAAGCCTCAATCGAAGCATCACAGCGCCATGGCATCCCAGGGGATCACCTGGCTTCTGTCCCTGGCTCTGCTGCTCTGTGAGTTCGAGACTCCCCCCCCCAGGGGGGGGGGAGGGAGGAGAGGGGACAGGCCGTGAGCTTGTGAGCGCGTCTTAACTTTGCAACCCGCACCTTCCAGATGCCGCGGTGGCTCAGCGGAGCCAGTTCCGAATGAAGCCGCAGACGCTGGTGGCAGAGCCGGGCAAGAAGATGGAGCTGTGCTGCGAGGTGGTGGTGAGCAGCCCGCCTGTCGGCTGCTCCTGGCTCTACCAGCCGCCCGGCCGAGGCGCCAGCCCCACCTTCCTCCTGTACCTCTCCTCTACCCGGACCACCCTGGCCGACCGGCTGGACCGGCGGTTCTCGGGGACGAAAAACAAGAACTCGTACACGCTGACCGTGAGCGAGTTCCGCCCGGAGGACCAAGGCTACTACTTCTGCTCGTTCCTGGACAGCGGCATGGTGTTCTTCAGCCCCTGGGTGCCCGTCTTCCTGCCAGGTGGGGCGCGGGGCGCGGCGGGACGGGGGGGTCGTCACGTCGGAACCCCTGGGCACCCACCCCGCTACGGCTCCCAGGTCCTGGATGAGCAGGGATTGGGCGAGGCTTTGCAGGCTCGGCGATCTGGGCTCCTTTTGGGGGTGCTTGTCCGGCCCCGGGGCAGGGTACCCCACGAACGCGCGCGAGCCCTGCGCGGGGTGCGCGGGGTGCGCGGGAGATGCGGGGGCGAAGCAGCGACCACGGCTGCGCCCCGCAGCCAAGCGGTCAGCGCGCATCCGGGGGTCACTTCTCCCCAAGAGGGGGCGCTGAGTGAGCAATTGGGGGTACTGCTGCATCCACACACACCCCAGCTTGACCGACCCCCCACCACCCTGTTGACCCCCGCAGTGATCACCACGACGCCAGCGCCCCGACCACCCACACCGGCGCCCCCGACATCGTCGCTCCCTGTGTCCCGGAGCCCCGAGATCTGCGGGCCCAGGGCAGGAGGAGGCACAGGTGAGGCGGGCGCGGGTCAGAGGCAGCCCTGACCGTCGAGGGTCCCTGGCGCAGGGGTCACCTCGATCGTAGACGACAGTGTGAAGGGTGGGGGCGCCCCCCTCCTCCCCGAGTTCAGGGAGGGAAGAAGGGCCTGGAACGGCCGGGAGGGACAGGACGGGCAGCCCCAGCCTCCCCTCAGTGCCGTCTGCCGTGTTGTCAGTGGACACGAGGTGGCTGGACTTCTCCTGTGATATCCGCATCTGGGTCTCCTTGGCCGGGTTGTGCGCGGTGCTTCTCCTGTCTCTGGTCGTCACCGTCATCTGTTACCACAGTGAGTCCATTCCCACGTGCTGCTTTCGCTCTGGGCCGAGATGGGAGTGTGTGTGTGTGTGTGTGTGGTCTGAGAGTGTGTGTGTGTGAGTGTGTGTGTGTGTGTGAGTGTGTGTGGTCTGAGCTGCATGCCCAGGCACAGTCCTCGTCTCTCCTGGAGATCGGAGCAAGGAGGAAAAGCTTGCCCGAGCCTTCCCCCGTTCCTCCCTCCCTCCTCCCCTCCCTCCCCTTCCCTCCCTCTCCCCCACTTCTCGCGAGGGAGGGGTTGGGAGCCTTGGCCCTAGCTCAGCTGGGCCTAGCACGGGACTAGCACTAGCACAGCGCCCGATGGATTGTGCAAAACCCAGCCAGGAAGCGGGCAGGGGAGGTTAGCTGGGCCCAACCCCAGACTGCTGTGAGGCGTGCAGTGACCCTGTCTCCACAATCGCTCCACGTCGATCGCATCAGCAAATCTGCAAAAGCCTCAGTACACCCAGGTCTGCCTTCCCCGTGGCGTTCTGTTTGTTTTTTGCTTTTCCAGTTTTTAAATAACTTTATAATTCCCTGACAGATTTAGTTTTGTGAATAAGAGAAAGAAAACCCCGAACACGGCATTTACACAATAATGATCAAGGCAAAGTTGAACAGAAGCGCAATGTTTCTGTGCTGTGAGCGGGTCAGCGACACGGACTCCACTGGTCATGCGCAGACAGAAGCTGGCAGTGGCTGCGTCTGCCTCCCAGGCCACCACCCTTCCCAACCCTTCTCCTCCCCCTCCCCCCCCCCCCCCCCCCCCCCCCCCCCCCCCCCCCCCCCCCGCTCACGCTCACCCAAAGGGACTCGAGCTACAAGGAGCCAACACCCTGTGGCCCCATGTTTTTTGTTGCTGTTGTTGTTTTTAATTGATACCTGAAGAGGCAGATGGAAAAGATGGTAAGATGACCCTACCTCTGCTCTCAAGAGTAAAGCTGATCATTTTTCTGGTGTTTCATTCCTGTACTCCTAGCATTAAGGCAGAAGGATCAGGAAATTGAGGCTAGCCTGGGGTACAGAGGGAAATCTTGCCTAAAAGAAATTAAGAAATAGCCAGGCCCTGGTGGCTCACACCTATAATCTCAGCTGTTCAGGAGGCTGAGATCCAAGGATCTTAGTTCAAAGCCAGCCGGGGCAGGAAGGTCTTGTGAGCCTGTCATCTCCAATTAACCACCAAAAAGACAGACGTGGGGCTGTGGTTCAAGTGGTAGAGCACTATCCTTAAACAAAAAGAGCTCAGGAACAGCACCCAGACCCTAAACTCAAGCTCTGGACTGGCACCCCACCCCCAAAAACTTACCCCAAAGATAGAAAAGAAATGATATTTGGAAACTATGAGAAGGACACTCATTTTTACCCTTCTCTTTTTCTTATCCAGGAAACAGAAGACGTGTGTGCAAATGTCCCAGGTGAGTCTTTCTAAGCTTGAGCCTGCTCATACTGGGCAGTTCTAGTCCTGACTACTCAGCAGTAGAGGATGGAAAACACTCTCAGAGAGATTATGGCAGTGGAAAGGGAAGCAGCTTGTCCTGGAACAAAGAGCGATAGAAGACTAGCAATGTGCCGGCAATTCTGAAAAAAGGGAGGCTGGTAGGGAGAGCAGTGTAACATCAGTAATTTCAGTCTGGTCTACCTCCCAGAATATCCATCTGAGATCTTCTTCAACTCATCCTAGTTCAAGTGTTTGAGGAGTCTTTTCTTTAAATTTTATTTATTTATTTAGTATAAGGATATACAGAAGGATTACAGTTACATAAGTCAGGTAACATTTCTTTTTGGACAATATCACCCCTTCCTTTGCTGTCTTCCACTTTTTCCTTCCCATCCCCACCTACAAGTTATATAATTCATGTTCAATATAGTGTCTAGTGGGTACTGCTGCTGCATTTGTTCACCCTTTGTCCCTCTCTTTCTGTGTCCCTCCCATGTTACCCTCTCAAAGACAGATAAATGAGCAAACAAGACAAAAAGAAAACAAAAACAGCAATAAAGAAAAAAAACATCTTATTTCAACATTTCCTGGAGTTCATTTCGATGAATATTATTTTATATGATCAGAGGCACATAGGCATTGCGTCTTTGCCTGTACAAGAGGCCTTAGTCTCCCCTCAGCTTCCATCTTAGGCTAGGGAACATCAACAGGCACTGCTCTACCCTGACAATCTCTCTTAATCCCGATAGCTACAGGAGATACCATGGTCTCAACTTATAGATCACAGCTTTGAGATTCATAAATCCACCTGTGGTGGTAGAGGTATCTCAGGTGGCTCACACTCTCAAAAACCAAACCATTTGATGAAAGCCTAAAATGTACCAGTTACTTGATTTATACAGTCAGCCCTGCAAATCCATCAGTTCTGCATTCACAAACCCAATCAATCTTGGATAGAGGACATTTTTAAAGAATATGTCTGTACTGAACATGTATAGACTTTTTCTTGTCATTATTCTCTAGACAGTATACTATATCCATGATTTGTACCTCATTGAAACCATATTAGCTATTATGTCATCTAGAAAGGATCTAAAGGGTTGAGAGGATGTGCAGATTATATGCAAATACAATGTCATTTTATGTAAGGGACTCCAAAGATTTGGGTATCCAAGGGTAAGGGAGTTCTGGAACTAGTCCCTCTGGGGTGTGAAGGGCAACTATATATATATATATATATATATATATATAATTTAATTAATTTCAAGTTTCATAATCCTTTTTACAGATGGGAAACCAAGGTTGAGGGCATTCAATGATTTGTCTAAGGCCATGATACAAGAAATAGCAGAGCTGCAATTTGTGTCTAAAGTTCAGTCACTTTTCTTGGTTGTGGAGCTAAGCTGGGCAGAAGGGGGTGAATGAATATTAAGGATAACCTGCTCTGTACCCCAATTCTTTTCAGTAGGTGAAAACATTTCAAATTTTGTACTTAGGGTTTTCATTTTATGCTACTTGTAAGAATTTAAATTCAGCATTTGGCACGTCATTATTTGAAACAATAAAAAATGTAATGAATGTTCAATGCACATGTTCTAAGTGAAACACCAAAAGCGTAAAGACTCTAACCTGCAACGATTCTTAGCCTTTTCTTTAATTGGAGTTGTGCACTTGGTTGCTCTTATAAGAAGATTCTTTAACTTTACTGAAAACGTTTTTCAGAAAAATTTGAAGTGAGTGACAAATCTTGCCCCCAAATACACAGCTACACAGGTTAAACACGAGGAATTTACACTCCTAGGTTAGTACACTCAATGATGATGGAGCTTTGGGGGATGAGGTGTGTCCACAGGACACACATGACAAATTAGCCCATGAGAAATCACTAAATCAACATGAACTTCCAGTACATATTTACTGGAAAAGGACTCTTAATTCAAGCAGTTCTCCTTGGCTGATGGTGATTGGCTCACACGTGTCTCTACTTCTCATCTTCCAGGGCTCTTCCAGGACTGAGAATCAGGGCAGCTGATGATTTAGATGATCAGCTTCATTATCTTACCACCCTGGGGACTTAGTCAAAAACTCTCGGAAGCCAGACTAACTGAGCTCAGATTCTGTCTCAGGCACCTGCTAATTTTATGATCTTGGGCAGGTTCTCTAACGTCTCCTGTCCAGTGTAGAATCCCTGAAATAGCTGTGTGGACTCTCAGAAAGATCATTCAGTGAAACACTTGTCAAGGCTGGTGCCCTAGGGATGTGTTCTCAAAGAGACTGAGGGGTTGGGAAATGAGTCAGGGATGAATGTTGCTTTGAAGGGGCTCTTGCTACAATAATGACCCCTTGCCTTCTTTTCAGGCCCCTCGTGAGACAAGGAGGCAAGCCCAGCCCTTCTGAGCGCTACATCTAACGTGGCACCAGGACTGTGCCATAGTCACTACATGACATCCAACTGAGACCTTTCCTTGCAAGAGAGCAACTTCTCTTTTAAGTTTTTCCAGTCTTCCTTCCTGTGCATTCATTCTGATTATTTTAGTGTGGGGCAGGTTGGGAAGAGTAACTTTATCTATTTACTTTGACACAAAACCAAACCACATGATGTCTACGGTGTACCGCAAGAGTCAAGTGCATGGCACACACACAATGTACAGAAAGCAGCACACCAGAGCTACCCTGAGAGCCACTTCACAGAATCATGCTGGTAGAGCCAAAGGTGATGTCAGGACCCATATGTTCAAAACCTCTTCCTCATGGTCTTACAGAAGATGCTGGAACCCAGCCTGGAAGTGGCTTGAACTCAGTAAGGGTGGGAGCCAGAGCTGGTAGACCCCTTCTCTGCCAACTTGTGGCTCTTTTCTCCACATCATTCAGGTCTCTCTTCCAGAGGACAGGGAGCCTGTGTCTCAAGGGAACAAGTATTTCTTCTGCACCTGTGATGTACTCAGTACTGGGCTCTAATGTAATAAAGAGAAGAGAACAACATCTACCTTTCAGAGTACTCTATGTTACTGAACAACAGCTGATCTTTTTATATTGAAATATGAAATTGCATAGACCACACAAATTCCTGCAGAAAAGTGAGAGGTGACTAAATCCTAGAAAAGAAACCCTTCCATCACTAAGGGAAAAATCCACTAAAATACCTAGGGAGTTAACATCCCTCTCCCAGCTCTTAACTGGCAGAAGGTGAAACTTAACGAGTATGATGTGAGCATTGGTAAAGGTGAACAAAAGGTCTTCCTCAATCTCTAAATGTGAGATTCCAGATTGGAACACGGTCCTGGGGTCACTGTTGATGTGTTACACTTTGTAATCACAGGCAGAATTACTGGAGAGCTGTCAGCACATTTCTTGATATCCTCTTGCTGTGAGCAAGAATGAGGCAGAACAGATTCCTGGGAGGCTGAGGGCCAAATCTGTTACCCCCCAAACCAATTTCCTCTTGTACACTATCATACAGTATGGGTACTTGATGAAGAAAATAACTTAAGGAAGTAAGAATCATTGGTAATTTTTTATTGTTATTATAAAGGTGATGTACAGAGGGGTTACAGTTACATGTCAGGTAACTGACATGTCACCTCTTCTCTTGTTTTCTACCAATTTTTCCCTCCCAACCCCCTTCCCCCACTGGTAGCTCTTAATTCATGGTTAATATTATACTGTGCTTTCTTTCTGATTATTTTCCATGCATATATGTAAAATATTTTAAACTAGAATTGTACTGTGCTTATATAAGTAGCTTTGATAAATAAACATTTATATCGTCCTTTTAATGGCTAAATGGTATTTTTTTTTTTTGGTTGGGCCTCATTTCCTTTATTACGTAGCGTTTGCTACGTTTTTTTTCTACAAAATGTTGCTAACATTTTGTACATTTTTTTTCTCTAAGGTCCTTTTAATCAGATCAGTTCCCACCTTTACCCTGGACTCACCATTATTTCATCAATCAAAATGGATTGGATTCTTTTATCCATCAGCTTCCTTCTCGTTGTTTGCTTAGAAACATGGAATGTCCTCTCATAATTCAAAATCTTCATTTTACTATTGAGGCAAAAATATACATGCCCAAAAAGCACACAAGGGGCTGGGACGGTGGCTCGGTGGTAGAGTGCTTTCCTCGCTTGCATGAGGCCCTGGGTTCAATTCCTCAGCACCACTTAAGCAGAAAAAGCCAGAAGTGGTGCTGTGGCTCAAGTGGTAGAGCGCTAGCTTTGAGCTAAAGAGCTGAGGGACAGCGTCCGGGCCCACAATTCAGGCCCTGTGAGGGCAGTGGGGAGTGAGGTATTGAAGTTCAGAACAGGATCCAGGATGTAAAGTTCCTGCAGAAGCAGAGCCTGGATGGATTCTGGTGCTTCTGGATTCCTTGGGAAGGAAGAGGAGCACCATCTCCTTGTGGGAAAAGCATGAAAACTATCTAGTCATAAGCAACAAGGCCAAAGAATGTAGGCCAAGAAAAGAACTAGAAAAAGGCTATCCTCTCATGAGCAGCATTTCTCTCCAACCTTTAGTTCCGATGCTAAGCAGCAGAGAGGCTCCACATGGAAGGCTCTGAAGAGGGTCAAATACTGTTTTGGTTGTTGTTGTTTTTATATATCTTCAACAAAAAAGATTTCACTTTATGGAAATGAACTCCAGGAAATTAATACAAGACATTTTCTCTTTGTTGCTGTTTGTTTTCTTCTTTTTTTCATCTTGTTTATCTGTCTTTGGGAGGGTAAGGGGGAGGCACAGAAATGGAGGGACAAAGGGTAAACAAATGGAACTCACTAGACACTAGGTTGAAAATGAACTATACAACTTGTGGGTGGGAATGGGAGGGAAAAACTAGGAGAGAGCAAAGGAAGGGGTGACATTGTCCAAAAAGAAATGTACTCACTATCTGACTTGTGAAACACTAAGCCTTCTATGCATCAATTTTATAACATTTTTTTTAAAATGACACCAGGTATGTTTCATTTTAATCAATTAACTGAATCAAGAAACACCTGAGAGATGTTTCTTAACACCATTTACAGGGCGTTTTTCAAATTGTTCTTCTCCTTTTCCACACATTAGGTACTCTCCTAAAAGCATCTTGGCTTTAAAAACATGATAGTTAATTTTTTTAACTGTATTTATTTTTTGTCTTGTCTTTTTTGGTACTGGGATTTGAACCCAGGACATTGCACTTGCTAGGCAAGGACTTTGCCACTGAGCTACATCCCAGCCTGTGGTGGTTAATTTTTAACAGCAGCATAGGCTTGTAGCCTCCTACTTGGGGGCAGAGGGTAGAAGATTATTTGAGCCCAGGAGTTCAAGGTCAGCCCAGGCAACATAGTAAGACCCCATTTGTCTTTTTTCCTTAAAGCTGACACTACCACTTTGAGCCATGCCTCTGGCTTTTTGCTAGATAAATGGAATAAGAGTCTCATGGATTTGTTTGCCTGGGCTGGATTCTAACCTCAATCCTCAGATCTCAGTCTCTTGAGCAGCTAAGATGGTAGGAATGAGTCTCCTTACTTAAGTAGAGCATAGCTCTGAATATGTCTGTGAGGGCACTTAAAGTGACAGACAATTAGATCCTGAGGACTCAGGCCTAACTGATGGTTTCATCCATTGATGGATTCAGTAGTCTATTCAGAGGTGACAAAACTTCTGCCTGTAAGAAAGGAGGTCACTGGAGGCAAGTCCTCCTGGCTCTGTCTTGCCCTGCCCCCTTCCTGTTATAGCTCTACTCTGCTTCCTGTCCACCATGAGGTAAACAGCCTCCTCCTGCACATTCTTCTGCCACTATAATGTCCTGCTTTATCAAAGACCCAGAAACATGAAGACAAGTGACTGTGGACGGAACACTCTGAAACCACGAGCTAAATCTTAAAACATTCTTTCAAGTCCTTTATCACTTGTGTATGAAAAGCAATACAACTTACAAACAAAATCGTTTAGAAATTTAAAGTATCAATATAAGAAAACGCATTTTTTAGAGATGGCCCATTGGGCCAGAGAAATAGGTGGGCTGTCTGTAGGCCATGCAGTTGAAGCATGCTAAAGGCAGGCTGTGAACTTAGGCTCAGGGCTCTTAGATGGTCAGATGCATCCATCCTGTTGGCTTCACACAAGTGGGAGGAGCACCCAAGTTTCACTCTGCTAGCCTTGGGCCCAAACTTTTATCTGCCAATTGCTATCCTGAAACACTGATTACTTTTTAGGCCTTGAAACACCACAAGGTGGAAATTTTGGTATTAACAGACAAGAATCCAGCCAGCCAGCCTCAATGTAGCTCATATAAAACTTATTTTCCCCCCTCCAGCTATGAATTTTGCCAAGTAGATCGGGGAGTTATTTCCCTTTTCACTAGCTTCTCCTTCCACCTACCTATGGGCAAATTCTTTTCTGCAGTTCCATCACCACTGGGGACAGCCTCCAAAGCAGGCTTCAAGTGGTTTTGTTTGTTTGAATACCAGAGGAAACTAAAGGTAACAGCAGCAGAGTGGTTGAATACCAACACAGTGGAATTTGCTTCCGGGCTCTACTGTTAACTGCATGGTCTCTGGGAAAGTGAGTTCATTTGATAACTCAGTTTCCCCATTTGTAAATTTTTTTCAAAGGAACATGTGTTTATGCAGATTTAATTTCTTACAGCAGCTCCTAGAACATGGGAAGCAAATCAATACATGCAATAGTTGTTAGTGATTATTTTTTATGTACTTTGAGTACAGCAACTTGTTTCCTCATCCCTGACCTCTCTCCTCTAAGACCTTGCTACAGATAAAGCTGCTACAATGTGTTAGCATATCCACCCCTATTTTGGCTGAAAGCCTCCATCCTAGGTCCTCTACCCTTTCCCCCAAATCAGGTGACCAGGCCAGGCTTGAATTGCCCACTCTCAGCTAAACTACACTACTTCTAGCCCCAAAATGCTGCTGCTGCAGTCAGGAAGTTCTGCCCCAGCCATATGCTAGTTCTAACATCTGGCTACAAGACTTGCCACTTTCCATTTCCCTGGCACTGTATAATTACATCCACTGCGTAAGGAGAGGCTGCTATACTCTATCCCAGGAGAGTTAGCCTATCTGCTTCCTGACAATAAACTTTGCTGTATGTGACTTGGTGTGTGTGGTTTTGGGTGCTAGTGCTTTCAATATATAACCATGGATGTCAGCACCCCCAGACACCTCTTCATATCTTTTTCACATATGTAGGCAAAGAGATGTTAGCCAGCCTCTTCGGTACTACCTGGGCCACTAGCTCCAAATGTGACTAGGAGAGATCCATATAGCTTCCACTAGGCAGGAAATAATCTACAATCTCAGATATTACAGCCTTAGGCCCAGCTCATCCCACCAAAAAACCCATGTCTGAGAGATGAGTGCTGTGGAGAAAGGCTTTTATTCAGTAGTCAAGTAATAGATGAGCTTTGTTCACCCATCAGTTTCGCTAGGATTATGGGGCTGCAGATCAAAGGTAAGCCAAGAAGGGGAGAAATATTCACATCATTCTCGAAATGGCCAGTGATATCCCAGGAATTGATACCACTTTTTTTCACGGTCTTTTCTGGTACAGTGTCAGGTAGGTTGTTAGCCTCTATAGGAGCAGAAGGGGGAAGACTATCCAAGTCTAGCTCAAGTTAACCCTGTAGTACATTATTTTTAGACATTTCTCTGATGATCAACATGCCTATGGGCAGAAGTGAGCAAAAACCAACCCGAAGATGAAAGGAGCAAAGGAGGCAGACAAGATGTGAAGACAGAGATTTCAAGGTTTCTCATCTCACTCTAGTTATCTAGTATCTGCAGGTCCAAGTGAAAAGCCAGTGTTTCCAAGAGAAATGGCCGTTAGGTACCTATTATGAGATACCCCTCCAGGGCAGATGTGTTGTCTACAGCAAAGCTAGTGGGAAGGTAATAATGTATTACATAGCAAAGTGACCACCCAAAATGTTTAAGCCAACTTGAACTAGCTAAGCTGGAAGGTTTAGATTTTTTTGGGGGGGGGTCCGGTCATGGGGCCTGAAATCTGGGCCTGGGCGCCGTCCCCCAGCTCTTCAGCTCAAGGCTAGCACTCTACCACTTGAGCCACAGCGTCACTTCCGGCTTTTTTCTTTTTGCTTATGTGGTGCTGAGGAATCGAACCCGGGGCCTCTTGCATGCAAGGCAAGCACTCTACCACTGAGCCACCTTCCCAGCCCAGGTTTAGATTTTTGTTCAATAACAGGAGAGAAATTTATTAAGGAACTGTGATTGTGTTTTGCTATAACTGCTTGGCAACCAAGTTGACTAGGGGGGACACAGTTTTCTTCAGTAGCTGTTTTACCTGCTCTCATAAAAGGAACACAAATAAACCGTTTCTACCACCTTATCTCCTCACTGAAGATAAGACTATTCAGTCTCTGTTCCTCCTGGCAATGTTGAGGTGAATGCCTCTTTCCCCAGCAATTGAAGTGTAAGCTGTTTTGAGCTGTTGTGCCAGGCATAGAATCATTACCATTCTGGACAGAGCATGGGACGGGCAGGAGGATGGGATCCAGAAACAGACGTTATCTCTTCATTTCAAACTCCACGAGTACCCGATCACCTACTTCTCACATCACGAGTAGCACAGAACAGGGGGAGATGCTGACACCAATTTTCTTTTTGTAGTACTGGAGTTTGAACTCAAGAGTCTCACACTAGGTAAGTACTCTACCATACCTCCATCTCAAGATTTTCTTAAATTCTTGTCATGCACAAAGACCCCAGCAAATGCAAACAGTGACTTTTTCTTTTCACAATTGGTGCCTTCACATTCCCTCCTTCATACCTCTGTAACCTAGCACATTTATACAAATTGGTTCCACAAGACACTTTTTAGATGTGCATTTCTTTAATTTTTAAAAAATATACACAGGAGCCATGTGTTTTACATAGGAATACACACATTAACAAAGCATTTCTTAGTTTTCCAAAATTCTATTATATCAGTCCGAAATTTATAAATTAAATATATCAGAATTTTTTAAAGTTAAATGAAATCCCTGAAACTACTGGAATATACTAGACTTTCTTTTCCAAAATCAAATGAGCAGAGAAGATGAGCATGGTTTGTGTTAAATAAGGTTTATTGTTAACTTTATTGCCTATAGTCTAGAAGATGCAACTTTATTGTGCCTTTGCGAACAGGATACATCTCTTAAAAAAACTGATCAAAATTTTCCATACATATAGCTCTATACGATAGAATACAGTGCAACACTATTCTTATTACATAATTATAGAAATATTATAGGACCCAAGAGCACAGGGTAAGCAAAAGACATACAATCCTGAGCCATCTGAACAAGATGATTTGATGAATCCTTTTAGTGTAGGTCTAGAAAACACAGAGGAAAAAAGAATACATGCATACTGCAGTCATGAGCGAACACATTAGTCACCTGTCTCTGCTAGACACAAGTGGGGTGAGGGTGAATTCCTAAACACATGCACACTCATTCACACTTCCATTTCCTTTTCCTGCTTCTCTCCCTCCCTCATACATTCACTCTCACCCTTTCCCCAAAGAAAGATCAGGCACTAAATCCTAGTGAACCCCAGATTTGCCTGGCTAGAGGAGGTTAAGTGACAGCTAAAACATGTGCATAGCCTCATTCACACCAAGAAACAAGCATGTGCTGCAAGCCAGTTCCAGCTGCTTTCGCCTCTTTGGAAGTAAATGAAGCATGTGCTCACTACAGTTTAAAACTGTAGTCTTAAAAAACAAAAACTTTTGTTTCTCTTGCTATTAAAGTAAAATCAACAGTGGAAAATTCACCCTCAAACTAACTGCTTCGTCTGCTATTAAAATACATGTCATTCTATTTTTGGTATATAGTCAATTATAATTTAATATAAAAAGTTCATGAAGCCTGTACCTGTTTATGGTAAACACTGCTGAACCACATAAAACCTACCACAGGCTTATGAAATAACAAGCCTTTTAAGTGTTCCTTACTATGTACTTGTGTGCACTCTAGTGTTACCACAGATCATGTACGTAGAGTTAAGTGATGAAAGCTATTTGGTTTGTCTTCACTTTCTACATCTGAGTGATAAAATGAACCAAACCATGCCTCCATACCTTTCCTGAAGATAACCCGAGTCTGATGACTAAACAGACTGATCAGCCTGGCTGTCAGTCAACTTTATCAAAGGTTGTGCTGGAAAGCCAGAGGGTAAATATTAGTCTATCAGTAGCTCCTCTTGTATGGCTAAACCAAAAGTTCTTAGCTTTTCTCAAAGACTGACACCATTGAGGTGGAAGTTACTTAGAACATGGAGAATACTGAATATGAACTGCATAACCTGTGGGACCACCTGGACAGAAAAAAAGAAAAAAAGGATCCTCAGCCCCACGTGATTTGGTGTGGGTTTTAGTGTCTCCGTGCACTTTAGCTACTACAGAAAAATTGAAACAAAGATGTAATTCGTAACTTTATTTTTAATTAAATGCTCACACACTCACAAAACACACACCCTATAAATGAGGTGGCTCTTCAAATTCTTTAAAATAAAGAGGCACCAATACCCGTTCATTTATGTATTAGAAGTATCATATAATCATCAATAAAACAGAAACATCATTTGCAATGACAATGCAAAGGAGGAAAAAAATAGATTAAAAAAAAGCAACCTTAGCCACTATGAAGAGTGCTAGAAAATACAGATGTGTTGGCCAAGTTGAGATCTAGAGATTTGCTAATAAAAGATTTATTGGTTTAGTATAATCCCATGGCCTTTGTTCACAAATGGTAATGGAAATGGCTCTTAAAGGAGCTTAAGACACCATTCTGAAAGTTTCCAATGTACGTTATGTTATTAGTCTAACTTGGCTTTCTCATTGCCTCTTGCTGGGAGAGACAAGAAGAAACCAATAGCATTACCCTACATGCCAACGTGCATGCAGCATCAATGATGATATGGTCCTAACACCACCGTGAAGGTGTTTTCTAGAATAGAAAGGACGTAATGTTGTACTCTGGCATCTTTGGTTAAGGTCTGGCCTCTTCAAATCCACTCCTCCTGTACATTTAGTCTCCTATAGATTTTAAGTCCATGCACTTAAAGAAGATCACAGACATAATGATAAATTGTCTGACCAAGAGTGTCAATATCTTTTGGCCCTTTTCCTGCCCAGTGAGACTACAGGACCAAAAAAAGCTGTAAAGTCAAATGCTTGTTAAATAAAGCATGTCATCCTTAAAGTTTCATGAGCTGCCTAGGAAACTGTTGATAAGATTCCTAACATCAGGAGAGAGATAAAGCAGAGGCTTTGTCCTTAAAAGTGGCTTTAGCCAACTGTGCAAAAGGGTTTGCTACAAAAAAAAAAAAATTGACTACCAGCTCTACAGCTTATCTGTTTTGCTCAAACCTTGTATGAAACTTCAATGACATCATGTAGATGTTTGAGGTGGAAAGGAGAGAATAAACTATGTATAAAGCTAAATTTGGCCTGGGGAGAAAAAGTTTTAAAAAACTGACACTCAATAATTTAATTCAAAGGAAAGACTATATATATATAAAATCGTGCCTACACCCTAGACTGAGTACTGCCTGGAACGCTCAACTTTTTCCCTATACTCCAACAACTTGGTCTGAGATCTTCCTTCACTTCTTTAGTAGAGGGGGACTTTTTAATATAAAGTCCCAACAGTGACACAAACATCACTGTGGGTCAGAATGAGTTTGGACAAAGCAAGTACTCGAAGTGGCACCGACTGTGATTCCTAGCTAGCGTCACAGCACACTGGAATCAGCAGGAACCATAAGATAACACAGGGGTGACATGCAGGGTTTCTGCAGTCTCTTTTTTTCCACAAGCAAATCCCAGCTCTCCCAGGCAAGTAATTCAGAATAAACCAGCCAGGCTGATGTGCTACTGTGAATGCTGCCAATTTCCCATGAGCTTAGCACCAAATCTGTCATTTTCCCCCTTCCCTTGATCTAAGTCCACTTGTAGTTTAAAATGTCAAAGTCTCCTTGCTTTTTGATTTTTTTCATTCATCAGAGTATTCCTATGTTCATGGTTCAGTTCCATGTCAGATGGAAAAAAAAAGCTGGAAAGTATTTGGTGATTTCCATATAACAATCTTCTCATGATGAAATAACTTCATGAGTTTATGTCAGAATTATGTCCGTAGAAGTCTTTTCCATGTAGTTTCTCATACAGAAAAAGATTCTTACACATGGCTCTTTCTGGACAGTGCATTAAATGAAGATACCTCACAAGAGAAAAGATCGTTATCTGTAGCCATTTGAATAATATACAGCTTCACAGTCAATGAGATGATACACTTTGCAGGAGAGTCATTGACCAGTACACAAATCAAACACAAAAACAGCAGTGAACATATTCTGCACTACAGAAAAATTGTTAGCGTCTAACTTGAAGGACTTAAAAGTGATGGGTCTGGTAACCGCATTGTAGGACTGGAACATGCTACTTCCCTTCCAGATGCACAATGTTTGATGCTGGTGCACAGTATCTACACACATACATGCACAACACTGTGTCTGGAGTGATATACAGATGCAACACATAGCCAAGTCCTGAAGACAGATTTCAAAGGAGAGGCTACCAAGACCAAGAGAGCATATATATTAACTTAAGAACATGTCTAACTTCAGAATTTCATTTATTGAACACACTTTAAAAACAAGCACCTCTTGGCAATAAAAGGGAAAAAAAAAAAACCACAATACTTCTTCCACTCTGTTCTAGTGGAAGACTTGTCACACCAGCCTGCTAAATTCATGATGGGATTTTAAACAGGCAGCCCACTGGGGCTACAAGCAGAGCTCAAATGCAGGTGTGCTGATTTTGAGGCAAGTGCTGGAGCAGAGGAAAACATCAAAAAGTAAATTTGGAATCTATCACAGCTTTCTTCCTTAAGCAAAAAAAAAAAAAAATGAAAATTAGTTGTCGAACCACAATTCAACTTGTCAAACTTTCTCTGAAGAATTTTCATTTAATTATATCACATATGTGTGTATAAATAAATGTGTATATATATATGTGTGTGTGTATATATGCACACACACACATATATATTACACACACACACACACTTATCAAGAAAGAAAGCTTTGTCACAAACACTCTCAGGCTTACAATTATTAAAAAAGGAGAAAAGTAAAAGCAGAAGGGATATTCAACACATGGCGGGGAGGTCAATTCCTGTTTCTGCTCCTAATAAGTAAAAAAATCACCTTATAATTAAGTACAAAAACCTGCATTGAATGACAACTGCTGGTGTATTTACTTGATCAGAAATGAAGACCAAGCAGATAATAAAGCCCTATGGTAGCACTCGTTTGGAGCACTCCCATCAGTGTGTACACTAGCATGCTGGCAAAGTTTCTGGAGCTTTAGCTTATATAAACACGGGAGTCCTTGGTTAGCTGCAATCAATGGAACGTTCTCTTCTCAAATGCACCCAACAATTCAGTTTCACTTACAAATTGCAAACCAAATTCATTTCTTCAGAAAAATATCTGTTTGGCATCTCCTGGACTTTGTTCCATTGGACAATATGGACATTTTAACCTAGAGACAAGACAAAAAAGACAGAGTCAAGGAAATGGGTCAGCACCCAGCATTCCATTGTCATTGGGTTGCAGAGTATTATTAACAATTAAACATACACCAGTGTACACCAACAGTAATATGTGTCTGAATTTTGTCTGAAGGATTTACTACAGTCTCCCCTATAGTGCCACAGGAAACCAGCAAGTCTAAGCTAAGACCAACAACCTACCTAAATGGCTTCTAATCGCAATTGCTCTGCACTGCCAGGGCAGCTGCAGGGTCTAGGAGGGGAAAACAGCAATTTATCATTATGGAGTGGAAATTAAGTGAAAAAATTTCTAGCTGTCTGAGCTAGAAATGGTTTCTGGGACTTTTTTTTAAGTTGAGCTTAAAAGAATCACAAACATATATCCCTTGGATTTGCAATTGTACTGGTAGGAATTTATACATCATATATAGATAAGGTAACTCACTTTAGCACTACTGATAGTTATCAACTTAAATAGGAAACTGACTAAATAATCCTGTTTCTACCTGGAAGAATACTCTGTAGCTTGAAGAGAAACAGAACAGGGCTCTTTCAGCAGTAAGATCTCGGGCTGGGAAGGTGGCTCAGTGGTAGAGCGCTTGCCTTGCATGCATGAGGCCCTGGGTTCGATTCCTCAGCACCACATAAGCAAAAAGAAAAAAAGCCAGAAGTGGCGCTGTGGCTCAAGTGGTAGAGCGCTAGCCTTGAGCTGAAGAGCTGAGGGACAGCACCCAGGCCCAGAGTTCAGGCCCCACAACCGGACCCCCTCCCCCCAAAAAAAAGATCTCTAAGAGAAATCAGTAAATAAAGAAAGCAAAGTAGGCCCAGATAACAGAGTACCAGAAAACAGCAGTTCCCAAAGCCATTGATTGTTCTTTCAAATCTAATCAAACAAATAACAGATTAAATGGGTTAACAATTAGATACCCCCAACTTTCACCAATATATACTTAAGAAACCTATTTCTAAATCTAGCTACATTTGATTTTCTTCATTACCTGATGTTCCCACCAAATTCCAAAAGATATATTTACCAATATCTTAAGAAGTCAGACACTTACTTGCTACCATTGAACATTTTATTCAGGGCATCTCTTGATATAATATGACCACAAACCAATTTCATGGGTGGATTGTTATCTGTTGTTTGCTGACGAAGAATGGGACAGGCAAATATAGAGTGATACCAGCACTTTTTGCCAAGGTCCACTTCAATCTGTTCAAAAAAAATAAAAAGGCTAGTTATATTCCAAAAATCAACCACAGATTAACATGCACTGTGACAGGAAAGTTGATCAGATCTAGGTATCTGAATGGAATTATCCAAAGCACTCTTCTCAAAAATGGTGAGTCTTAGAACACACCAAGTTGAATTAAACCAGTCATCAACAAGATTCCAAATTCTAGCAGAGCACCGGTGGCTCACACCTGTAATCCTAGCTACTCAGGAGACTGAGATCTGAGGATCATGGTTCACAGCCAGCCCGGGCAGGAATCCTGCCTGCGAGACTCTTATCTCCAATAAATCACTAGAAAACCCAAAGTGGCGCTGTGGCTCAAGTTGTAGAGCGCTCGCCTTGAGCTGAAGAGCTGAGGAACAGCGCCCAGGTCCAGAGTACAAGCTCCACAACCAACCAAAAAAAATAAAAGAAAAAAATAAAAGAAATTCCAAATTCCAATGTGTGAGAGTCAGATCAAAGTCAAGGAAATGCTCTAAAACATAAGCGCTTCTGCCCTTTGTACAGGTCACTCCCACTGACTGATGCATGTTAGGTAAGCACTCTACCACCAAGTCACATCTCAGCCTAAACCCTCTCAAAAATTCATCCTACAACTAGAAGCAAAGCTACCAGGCATCCTCACTGATAATTAGGTGATAAAATGGCAGCACACATAGCCAGGTGATAAAATTCCGCTCAGTAAATCCTTCAAAGTCAGTTTCAGATCTGAGTTTCTCATGTTTTGTGTATAATGCTCCAGGGAAACCACCTGAAACAGGGCATTATAAGCCAAGTTTCAACAGGCCTGTGGCGATCTGTGGCATCAAAGCCTATGGCGCTTGTATCAATAGTTTCTTTTATTTTTTTATTGTTAAAATACTGTACAGAGGGTCAATAGTTTCTTTTTGCCACAAATGAAACAAGTCATATTAAAGATCATCTAGCAGACTATGTGGAAGATAACAGAGCCCTCACAAACATCAGTTTTCCTTTATTCTAAATCAACAACAGCTATCAGCATCAAAGTCTATTACTAATGCTCTTTCAAGAAAACTGACAAAGTATAACAGTGCAAACAAAGACTGGCCTGATCCCAACTTCTAGTTGCTTTACAACCTTCCCTGGCCCCCTACCCATAAGACTTCAGTTGATTCAGGTTTCAATCTGCTCTGACCTAGTATATAAGTGTCAATAGATGCTTAAAGCTTAAGTGGGGGACTGCCAGATGCCAGGGACTTACTTGTCTCAGGAAGTGACTGAAGGCTCAAGTTCTTTTCACTTGCTCAAATTAGCAACAATGAAAACAGGGTGTTGCTTGTGTCCTGACCACAAGCAGAACTTGAGCTGACACCTGTGCCTTTAAGCACAAGATCTTTAAGAAGAAGCTGGGGCAACCAACTGATAGGCTTACCAGCTGGAAGAACAAGGTAACTCCAGATAAACCTGTGCGGGGGGGGGGGGGGGGAAGCTGAGATCTGAGGATTGCTGTTCAAGAGCCAGCTGAGCCAGGTGGGGGGGGGGGGGGGGGGCAGAAATGTAACAAAGAGCCAAATGCAGATTTGAGTGTTAGAGAATCTGTTGGCACTGCTGTGACAAGAATGACAATTCCAAGTTAAGGTTTTAGTGCCTACTGGCAGAGGGAAATACATATAAACACCTTTGCACTGTACATCATAACGGCACCACAGCAGCCACAAGGTCCCTGTCAGCTCAAGGTTCAGTTGCCCCACAGAGAAGGGTGGTCCTCTTTTTAGAGATAAACAAAAGTAAACTTCACTCCAAAATTTTGAGACCACTCCTCAAATGTCTCCAAAATTGATTCCTCCTATTTTTCTTATTTTAGTGGTGTGAGGATTGAACCCAAAACCTCACACATGCTAGGCAAAGCACTTTATCACTGAGCTACACTCTCAGTCTTATTGTTAAAAATCATGTCTATGGGGGCTGGGAAGGTGGCTCAGTGGTACAGCACTTGCCTTGCATGCATGAGGCCCTGGGTTCGATTCCTCAGCACCACATAAGCAAAAACAAAAAAGCCGGAAGTGGCGCTGTGGCTCAAATGGTAGAGCTCTAGCCTTGAGCTGAAGAGCTGAGGGACAGCACCCAGGCCCAGAGTTCAGGCCCCATGACCAAAGCACCCCCCCTCAAAAAAAAACAAAAATCATGTCTATGTATATATAATGAAACTCCTGTTCAATGGCTATAACCCTGTTTCCTGGTTAAAAGGCAGGATAGACATTTTAAATTCTTTTTTGTTGTTGTTGGTGATGGTGGTCCTGGGGCTTAAACTCTGGGCCTAGGCATTGTCCTGAGAGCTTTAGATCAAGGTAAGAACTCTACCACTTGAGCCACAGTTGCCATTTCCAATTTTCTGGTGGTTAATTGGAGAAAAAAAGAGTCTCACGGACTTTCCTGCCCATGCTGGCTTTGAACCACGATCCTCAGATCTCAGCCTCCTGAGTAGCTAGGATTATAGGCGTGAGCCACCGGCACCCAGTTAGCTACATTTTAAATTCCTGAAACACCCAAGACACATATAACAGAAAAGACAAGTCAGAGGAACTTACAGGTAATTCATCTTTCTGGTTCCAAACTCCAGTGCACTGCCTCTGTTCAATCACAGCTTTGATGTTAATTAAAGCTGGCAGTGCCACACAACCTGCTGAAAAACTGGGAGAGAAGAGAAAGCGTTAGACTGTGTTTGCAGGCCCTGACCGTGTCTCCCCTACCCCCCACACCCGTGAATAGGTATATTTCCCATAATTACTGAAACATGGCCCCTATTTATTTATTTTTTTGGGTCCGGTCATGGGGCCTGAACTCTGGGTCTGGGTGCTGTCCCTCAGCTCTTCAGCTCAAGGCTAGCACTCTACCACTTGAGCCACAGTGCCACTTCCGGCTTTTTTCTTTTTGCTTATGTGGTGCTGAGGAATTGAACCCAGGGCCTCAGGCATGCAAGGCAAGCGCTCTACCACTGAGCCACCTTCCCAGCCCCATGGCCTTTATTTAAAAATGTGACCTTGGGCTGGGAAGGTGGCTCAGTGGTAGAGTGGTTGCCTTGCATGCATGAGGCCCTGGGTTCGATTCCTCAGCACCACATAAACAGAAAAAGCCGGAAGTGGCGCTGTGGCTCAAGCAGTAGAGCGCTCACCTTGAGCTGAAAAGCTGAGGGACAGAGGCTAGGCCCAGAGTTCAGGTCCATGACCGGCAAAAAAAATGTGACCTAACATTAAATCTAACCAATATGGGAAAAATGATGTTTAAAAGGCAAAGGGCAAATTGTTAAAAAATTAACATCCTAAAATGGTCATTTCCTTTTTCCTTTTCTTGGTCAGCCTGGGTGCTGTCCCTGAAGCTCTTTGTGCTATACCAACTTCAGCCACAGCATCACTTCCAGTTTTTGAGTGATTAATTGGAGATAAGAGTCTCACGGGGACTTTTTGCCTGGGCTGGCTTCAAACCACAATCCTCAGATCGCAGCCTCCTGAATAGCTAAGATTACAGGTGTGAGCCACCAGCGCCTAGGTAAAACGGTCATTTTCTGATAGAGAGAATTAATTCCCCAATAACTGTAAATATAACCAGTTCTATCCATTACAAATAGCAGCAGCTTTTGGCATCAGCATTGAGAGGAGGATCTATCACTAAAAGGAAAAAGTATGAAACTTGTCAATTCAAGTGATGTCTGAAGCAAAAATACAAATTAAAACACCAAAAATGGTGTTTCAACATTCAAATGTTCTCTGAGTTGATCACTCAACCACACATAAAACACATACCCTGTCCTGATCTCTCCCTTCACAGATGATATATTGGCATACTATAATGCATACGTAAACATACATACATACATACACATATATACACACACATATATGTAAGTGTAAGCCATTCAATAATATTTGAAATCCAAACTGTAAGAAGAAATATTCTGCATCCTCAATGACAGTGTAAAGGATATCTGAAAACTATTGTGCTGGTTGTCCTGAACCATTGTGCTTAGTTTCTTTCTCTTATACAGCATGCTTCAAGGCATTTATGGAGTAGACCAGTGGCATCCAAAGTGTAGCCTGCAGGCTGATGCTGGCTTATTTGACAGTCTTGGCCTGTAAAATTTGCTCTTGTACAGTTCTTCCGAGATCTGGATTGCTCCCTGCCTGGGCAGAAGGCCTATTTCTCGAATTTGGAATCAGCTGAGTCCTGTTTAGCCCTAAAGAGAGCCACATGACTAGGGTCACTTCCAGCAACTCTCCACACAAATGTAGTCTGTTGCCCAACTGGGGAAACCCATATGCTCCAGAGCTACTCTGGATAGACAGAGGCTTTTCTTGCAGCTACATCAGCCTCCACCTTTCCTCTCTGCCAAACCTGCCACTTTCACTTGCTATGAGGGCTTACCTCAATTACAGCTGATTGTCTTTCATTAGTGTGGTGGCCCTGAAAAATGCAGACCACCTTATTCACGTCTATGTTCCACACACATAATTAAACCCATGGTGCTTTAAAAAAACAAACAAAACTGAATTTTTGTACCTTGCTATGAGCTATGGTCTGTCTTATACTATGATTCTTCTATCCATGCATGATTTTATAATACCATATTTAATTAAGACCATCCAAATGTTTCATTCCATCATGTAATATTAAAAAAATCAACTTCATTCATGCCATCACCATTCTTATTAAAAATAATACTTTATGTACTAGGAAGCTGACAAGCTGACAACCAAAGGTATAGCTTTTGAATGTTAGCCTAAAATATTTAACTTTATCACTGTGGCAAAAGAGACTGACAGTTGCTTTCCTAGATATGACATTCCTAGATATTCAGAAGGTTGAGATAAAGATTATGAGGTCAGCCTGGGGGGGGGGAAGGGGGAGTATTCATGAGATTATCTCTCAATCGAAGAAGCTAGACTTGGTATATGCTGTAATCCTAGCTGTGGGAAGTATAAAATAGGAGAATCATTACCCAGGTGCAGGCCTAGAAGGAAAGTGAGACCCAATCTCAAAATAACCAGAATAAAAAAAGGCAGGAGTGTGGCTCAGAGGCACAGTGTGTATTTAACAAGCAAGAGGTTGCGAATCCAAATCCAAGTATCATTAAGAAACTCTACCACCATCAACAAACAATTATAGTTTTTACTAATTCTTTCGGGGGGGGGGCGGGGAGAAACGTACTGGCTCATAACAAATAATATGCAAATGTTTTTTTCCCAAGACAATCATCATGCTAAGGTATGAAAGTGCTCTATACAAATTTCCTGCTCTAATCCATAGAATTTAAAAAAAAAAAAACCAAAAACATTTACTCAATGTCCAGACTTAGGGCACTGTCCCTGAGCTTCTTTTGCTCAAGGCTAGCACTCTGCCACTTGAGCTGCAGCACCACTTCTGGCTTTTTCCGTTTATGTGGTGCTGAGGCTTCATGCCTGTCTAGTGACAAGCACTCTACCACTAAGCCACATTCCCAGCCCTCAACTCATAATCTTTAATCTGTCATGAAGAGCAGACTGAAGTACAACTAGTAAGCTTGTAGTGAGTGTCCAGGAATACAAGGGGCCCTGTTTTCACTACTTCAACTTAGTATAGGCTCAGACATTTAGCACATTCTTGTTTCTAGGCCATGTGAGCAAAGGTCAGCAGTAAAAAGGGCTCCTGGACTTCTTAAAACGCACAGACCACACTGTGCAAACTGCTGCCTGAAAACTACGTCACTGCCAATTACAGCACTCCTTGAAGCATCAACTGGACTCTTCTTCACAAAGGCAATCTATTGGCTTTCATTATCAAGGCAGCAAGTTAAAAGGAGCCACCACGGCAGCAGCATCTCAGTAACACAGGGCCCACGTGCATACCTGACGCTGAGAGGGGATTCCACAGAAAGCCCCAGGAGAGCACAGGCATCCCGCGTGAAGATGTCACAGATGTCTGCCCACTGGTTCGAGTCAAGCAGGTGAACATAAGGTGAGTTCTCAATTCCCTGCCTCAGGTATACCAGGCTTCCCATTAATACCTGAATGTCTAAAAGAAAAGGCATCAGCAACTTGGAGGTGTTGATAATCATACCCGAAAGAGTTTACTTGCAAAGAACAGCAAAGAAATACAAGAAAAAATAAAATAATTAACTTAAAAAAAACATAAAAAAGTCTGGTCCTTAAGCTGTTTTAGAATCTCTTTGCCCTAAAGACATAGCATGGTAATCATGATGAATCCTTTACTACATACAATATACACTATACAATATACACTAATAAAACATGAAAGAAAAAAAGACAACATGGAGTGAAAAAGAGAAAAAGGAATTGGAATTACACTTTCAATTTTCTGTTCTGACACAGTACGGTTCAAAGCAACAATGATGTAAGAGGGGCCATCACATAGACCTGGTTAACCGGCCAGCCTTCCCATGCTGACATTTTTAGGGACTGGCAAATAGCAAGTAAACACTATGTTCTGTCAATCCTTAATCATGCGGTGTCACTTTCTGGTTCTGACTTTTCATTTAAGTCTTTAATGTTCACTGTTGATTTAGAGCCTATCAGAGCTTTATTGGGAAGTTGAAATCTCAATTTTTTTAGTTTATCAGCATATACATACAATAGATATAGTTACACTGTCAACAGTCCAGTGGTGTCTACAGGGCCCAAAGTAAGAAACAGACTCAAGCTGGTCATGATGGCACGTGTCTGTAATTCCAGCATGGGAGAAGGTAGGGCAGGAGGGCCAAGAATTCATGTTGAGCCTAGGCTCTGTAGTGACACCTTGTCATAAAAGTAAAAAACCAAACAAAGCTGAAGGGCAAAAAAGTCCTTCTGACTCCAGACCCACCTTTTTGATGATTTAGGGCAAATGGCTGAAAATTCTTAGCATACTGCAATGCTTCTCGCTGATTTGTGGTTCCGCCCATTAACAAGCTAATGAAATACAGTCGGTGCAGCTTAAATTCCAAGGAGCTGTTCTGGGCAATGAGCATTTCTCGGTTTGAGACTGCCCACCTAAAGAAAAAGCAGAAGGATATTTTAACAATAATCAAGGGTACTCAAGGTGTGTTTAAAACTCTGAAACTGAGTAACTAGAAAGGGTTTCGGTCTGCCATCTTGTGGAAGGCTTTGGTAACAACAGCTCAGCTGAGACTCCTAAAGAAAGTAAGCCTAACTCCTCAAGAGCCTTTAAGCCAGGGCAGAGAATAAGAAAAAATATTGTCAGAAGACAATCACTTATCCAAGTAAGGTTTGTTGGCAAGATAAGAATGTCATGTAATCATGTGGTACAACCTGGCTTTGAACAGGGCCACACCTGGAAGTAGGTATGTTGGAAAGGAGATTCGTGGCTAGATTGCCTATATCGGCCCCTCTTTTCTATTAAACAGGTCTATTCCTGACTGATCAAAGATTCTTCTTTAATGTTTTACTTTTAAACGTTCATTGGCTGAAAGACCATGCTACTTGCTTTGAGATTAAAAATGGCAAGGTGCTCACAGTTTATCAGGAAACACACACACACACACACACACACACACACACACACGCACGCACGCACACGCACAAAGAGTGTATTTCCCCATGAGAAGAGTTGTAGATAAAGGCAAAGGAGTATTCAGTGACTAACTACCTACATCGACAAGTGTAGTGACTTAGTCCTCAATTGCACAAGCCGCTGGAATAATTCATCTTGAACTGGAGCCACAACAATGCTACTGAGTGAGTGATAAAATAGACCAGCCTACTCAAATAAAGTTTTACAAAAATGATAAGGAAGCTTTTAACTATTTAGATATGTTGCTATCATAGTCTTTAATTTGCCCATTAGTTAGATATTCCCACCCACTCAGTTCACCAAGGACCACTGGAATCTAGCAGGAATAGGTTTAAATGTAAAACCTGAGTAACTCCATAAACTACAGGAGCAAAATTCTTTAAGTTATTCACAGTGAACAAGTTCTCTGGAATTGGGAATTCACACAGCGGAACGCTTACTGGATCAACCCCTTCTCTAAAAGGGCTGGACATGCATGAAATAAGTCTCATCAACTTAGTGATGTGCCTACATCTTAGTCAAATCATAACAAGTCTCTAACCTCAAAGTCAAAGGGATTCTTTTTTAATGTAATATGGACCTTAAGAGTGTAAATGCAGACAAGTTGCAACATCAAGTTTGACTTAAAAAAAAAACTGCTGACATCAAAAAGGTACATAAAGTAAGTATTTTTTTTTTTGGGGGGGGGGTCCAGTTGTAGGGCCTGAACTCTGGGCCTGGGCGCTGTCCTCAGCTCTTCAGCTCAAGGCTAGCGCTCTACCACTTGAGCCACAGCACCACTTCTAGCTTTATTTTCTTTTTGCTTAGTGGTGCTGAGGAATGGAACCCAGGGCCTCATGCATGTAAGGCAAGTACTCTACCACTGAGCCACTTTCCCAGCCCAGTATTTTTCTTTTTAATGTCCAACACCAAACATCTGCTTTTGCTTCCTATTTTATTTTTTGGGTTGCATACCTGTGATCCCAGATATGTGGAAAGAATAGGACTGTGGCTTGAGTCTGATCCCAGACAAAAACATTAAACTACAGATAAAGTAACTAAGCAAAAGAGAAAATAAATAGATGAAGGGAGAGGAGGGAAGAGTGTGATATCTAAAGGAAAAAGAAAACTCTTTAGTTACATGGGAATGAACCACTGAGGCCCAGGCAAAATCCTATCTGAAAAATAACCTAAGCAAAAGAGACAGGTGGCATGGATCAAGTGGTGACACACTTGCTAGTAATAAGCATGAGGCCCTGAATTCAAATTCTAGCAACCATAAAAAAAATCAGAAAGAAGACATTACCTTTTTATTCTTTTCTCATTTTTAAATTTTAATATTTCATTGTTATAAAGGTGATGTACAGAGGGGTTATAATTATACAAGTCAGGTAATAAGTACATATATTTTTGGACAATGTCACCTTTCTATTCATTCTTATACTTCCTTTGCCTTTCCAATCCCTTTCCCTGGCCTCCTTTTTTCTTTTTCTAAACCAAAATTTTAATTGTTATAAATAAAGGCGATGTACAGAGTGGTTACAGTTACATAAGTCAGGTAAAGAGTACATTTCTTTTTGGACAATGTCACCCCTTCTCTTTTTCTCTCCTAGCACCATGCTTTTTTCTTTTTTTTTGAAAGAGAAGCAGGTGTTTGGAAAATCAAGGGCCAGAGAAGAACAGGTTAGGAAAGCAGTAGCTGGCTAGATGGATAAATCAGAGGTATTGTCAAAGAATTAAAATAGCAAAAAAAATGTGTTAGTGAACATCTATAATGCCAGGACTTGAGAGATTTTCTGGATATGCCAGCCTAGACTACATACTGAGTCCCTTTCTCAAAAATTAAAAAATAAAGAAAAATAGCTGAGCACTGGTGGCTCATGCCTATAGTTCTAGCTACTCAGAAGACTGAGATCTGAAAATCACGGTTTGAAGCCAGCCCTGGCAGGAAAGTCCTGACACTCATATCGCCAATGAACTACGCAGAAAAAGCCAGAACTGGCACTGTGGCTCAAGTGATAGAGTGCCGTAAGGAAGGAAGGAGAGAAGGGGGAGAAGGGGAAGAAAGAGGAAGGGAGAGAGGAGGAGAAAGAGAAAGGGAAGGGGGAGAAAGAGGGAGGGAAGGAAGGAAGGAGGGAGAGAGGGGGAGAGGGGACAGGAGGTAGAAGTGGGAGAGAAAAGAAGAGGGAGAGGGAGGGAAAGAGGGAGATGGAGAAAGGGAGAAGGGAGAGGGGGAGAAAGAAGGAGAGAGGGAGGAAGGGAGGAAAGAAGAGAGGAGGGGAGACAGAGAAATAGAGGAAGGAAGGAAAAAGAAAAGAAGGAAGGAAGGAAGGATCAACCAATCTAGTGAGAATAAGATGGAGGAGAGATAAAAAAAATAAAGGTGAAAGAATAAATGCAAGTCAACTGGTACAGTGGCTCATGCCTATCATTCTGTCTACTTAGCAAACAGATCTAGGAGCCGGGCGCTGGTGGCTCACACCTGTAATCCTAGCTACTCAGAAGGCTGAGATCTGAGGATCGAGGTTCAAAGCCAGCCCGGGGAAGGAGAGACCGTGAGACTCCTATCTCCAATAAATCACCAGAAAACCAGAAGTGGAGCTGTAGCTCAAGTGGTAGAGCGCTCACCTTGAGCTGAAGAGCTGAGGGACAGCGCCCAGGCCCAGAGTTCAAGTCCCATGACCGACAAAAAAAAAAGAAAAAGAAAACAGATCTAGGGGCTGGGAAGTGGCTCAGTGGTAGAGCGCTTGCCTTGCATGCATGAAGCCCTGGGTTCAATTCCTCAGCATCACATAAGCAGGAAAAAAAAGCTGGAAGTGGCGCTGTGGCTCAAGTGGTAGAGTGCTAGCCTTGAGCTGAAGAGCTGAGGGACAGCGCCTAGGCTGAGTTTAGGCCCCAAGACCAAAAAAGAAAAGAAAACAGATCTGGATGATCATTGTTTAAGGCCAGCCAAGGCAAAAAGTTTACATACTCTCTTCTCAATCAGTATTCAAGGATGGTGGCACACACATCTATCATCCCAGATACTGAGGGAAGTGTAAATGGATCCTGGTCAGTTCTGATGTTCATCCAGGTAGACTTGTTTTTACCATGAGATCAGGAGCTGTCATAACTATTTCCCAATGTAGGTACAAAGTTCTGGAAAAGTACAATTTAATATAAATTGAGCAGTACAGAACATGGTTGAAAAACTCAAGGCCCAGGTTCAATTATGCTTTGCACAACTTTTCTAACAACTCTCTATCGACAGAACTCTAAATGTTCTTCATCTAATAAAGCTCTTATATATCTCTTCCCCAATTTATTTGACAGTATAGTTTGGTATCTCAAGGAAGGGCTCTGGTCTGCTTATAAATCTTTGCACCCCTCCCCCCCATATATACTCTATGAATGGGACACAGTAATAAGTGCAGGCTGCTAGAGTCAAGTATGTGAAGACTTAAATCCTAACCTTGTGGTATAAATTTAGACAATGCTATTGAACTCTCTAAAATCTGTTCCTTTACTGTGAAATGAGGACACCTCAAAAGGTGTCTCAAACACAGATGGGTACAAATAGAGATTTAATTACAAGATGCTCAGCATATACTTATTGATGAACTGAACTAACAGTTGGAACCTTCCATGTAATATTCAGAACGTTCATATTTATAGTAAAAAACCATCTTAGAATATAATCATATGCTTTTATTAGCCTAATCCCTTCAGAAACTTGAAGTTTTCTTAGCTAGAAAATCATATGGGATATCTTATTAATTCGCTGCTCAGGAAAATAAGGGGTAGAACACAGATCTGATAACCAAACCTTAACATGAAGTACACAAAACTGTATTTGTCACTAACAACTCACTACCTTCAAAGCACGGGAAGATATGTGTGCAGAAGAAAACTTAAACAAACATGATGAGCCAGGTGCCAGTGGCTCACACTTGTAATTCTAGCTACTCAGGAGTTGAGATCTGAGGATCATGGTTCAAAGCCAGCCTGGGCAGGAAAGTCTTATCTCCAGTCATGTATCCAAAAAAACAAAAGTGGAGCTGTGGCTCCAGTGGTAGAGCACTAGCCTTGAGCAAAAAAGCTAAGGGACAGTGCTCAGGCCCTGAGTTCAACCCCCCCACAAAAGAACAACAATAAAAACACCAACAAAGAAATGATATGATACTACAAAATGGATGCTCTACCCTGCTTAATAATTTCCAGCAGAGAATGTGATTTTCAATGAAAACAAAACCACCACCATTAAACCAATCAGTAAGCTAACTAAAAATTTAGCGAACTTATGAATTCTTCTTTGTATTTTTCTTCTAACTTTCATCCTAAAGTTATTCATGTGATCAACAGCCACCGCCTATTTGAGAAAACACTCAAAGAATGACACTAAGGTCACTAATGTCAGAATTATCTGCCACTGAATCTTCCTATTGAAGAGATCCTCTGGGCTTTCTTCATACACGGACCTCAAAACAATACTAGTAGTTTA